CTTGAGAAACTTCGAATAAAGGCCATTTAGTTATCTCCGGAATGATGTAAAAACGAGCGTTCTTGCTCATTTTGCTTCCGAGAAACATGCAAAACAGGACGGAAAACATGAAATTTTTTCCACCATTTACAGTCTGGTCCAGGTTTACCTGCACTTGTAGTATTTGGCCATTGAATCCACACTCTCAAACGGATTGCCCACCACATCGCCCTGATTCTGCTGCTGGTGATTGTGGTCGTCATTGTAGATCCCTTCGGAGATCTGCTCCAGCTTGAAGGTGTCTGGATCGAAAGCGATGCGCGCTTCTCCGAAGTACCCCACCTGGTCCAGCACCTTGGAGGTTTCCCGGTGGAGGTTCAGATACGTCAACACCTGCAAAGCACGCGTTAATTTCAACAAGTCACACCGTTAAAGGCCGACTTTTTGAGTGGACGTCCTGTCCTTGGCCCTAATGCGGATGTCCTCCTTCAGTTTGGAGATGCTGTCCGACAGCACATCGGACGCGATCCCCCCTTCTTTTTTAATGCTGGATGCTTCTTCCAGCAGCCGCCTTTCCTCCCTGCAACAACCCGTATTGCTAGAGTGTGCGGTTTCTTCAACAGGACACCCTGGACAACCTTAAAATCGCTTCCACTTTCTGCACAGTCGCCTTGCGGATCTTCTCTTCTAGAGTGCTGCACCTGCCCAGGAAGTTTTCCAGTTTATGCTTCAGCCGCTCTTCACACTCATTGAGCTGCTCAACGAGCAGCGACAGATTGGACTCCAGCCCGACCAAGTGGGCGTTCCAACAGACGCTGCAGAATATCTAGAACATGCAAACTCAAGGGGTTTGCGCACCTTGGCCAAGGCGCATACCTGCATGCAGTGTTGGCACACTTGCTCCTGCTGCGCGGAAACCATCTGGCAGTTGATGCAGCGAAAGTTCTCGGTCACTTTGGGAGAGGTGGGCGATTCCTCCACCACTTTGAGGAGCGATTGGAGGTAGAGGTTGCGAGGCAGCTGGTCCAGGGAGGCGATACCCTCGGCCAGAGCGATGTGGCTTTGGCAAACCGGGCAGGACATCGATTCGATTTCGTTGTTGAGGGAAATGGACGCATTCGTTTGCTGGAACCGCAAGTTTTTTGCAGTCACGTGAGTTTTGAGGCAGTTGAGGCAGAATGTGTGCTGGCACGGCAACATTCTGGGATTGGAGAGCCGCTCCAGGCAAATGCCGCATTGCAGCAGTTCTTCCAGTGCGGGAAACGAGTCGCTTTTGGTAAGTAAAAATGGGTTTTGTTAGTGTGCTTCCTATAATGAATTTTGCTAGTTGCTTGGAATTATTTTATTTTATTTGTGCAAATAACTTTATACAGTTTTTCGCCGAAAGTAATTAAGATTTTCTTGAAAACACGACCAGAAGATTGAATTTGAAAAATTCGCCGCCCTCATCGCTCTGAAGGTTTTTAAGTTTCTTCAAAATCTCCGGATTTTTCCGTTTTGGACCAAATAGTTTCAATCAATATGTTGGACGGGACCTGGGAAAACGGAGCAACCACGGCAACACTGGTAGGCGGGACACCCCAGGGCGGGAGTGGCAACATCGGGGCTACTTCATGGCTGGGACAGGAGACGGCGCGTGCTACTTCCGGGCAACAACACAGAATATCCATAGGGGGATATTCTGTGGGAGAAACAACTGGTGGCGTTGCCACGGGAGATGGATTATTATTGATTTGATGGCGAACGTGAAGACGCACATCAAATCCTGTAATTTTTCATCGGGTGTATTCTTTCATAAAGTACAAGTCTGACAATGTTCATGTTAAAATTCCGTCACCAGCCATGAGTTATAACTCATTAACCAATGAGTTAAAACTTCACATTACCTCAGCGAGCGGCAACAATCAAAAGCGCAACTCAACACAGGGGCCTACGCGTTATACTAGATGGGGTTACGCAGCGAGCCTAACAGAAGGTTATGCGCAAAATGGCCGATTTAAATCAGTTCTCAGTGTCAGTTAGTGTTTAAAAAGCGCGATAAAGTAATTGAAAACACCGCCACTAAATGTTTGAAGTGCCTGTAATGTGCCAAAAGTGTTCGAGATTTCTTTGACAGTGTACTTGTGATAGAGAAACCCGCCGTTACACCATCACGACTGTTCTTGTCACTGAAAAGTGCGGCGGATTGAGCTTCAAAATAGGTGAGAGATTTTTGTCTTAAGTCTTAACTAAAGCGTTTTAGTCTAATTACAAGATAATAAATCTTCCAATAACACATGCTCATTATGCTAAACATGTCTAAAGATCAGCGCATCCCGCAGGGGGATTTTCTCTCCTGATCATGCCTCAAGGAGCCCTAAGTAAGACATTCTCACGAAGGCGTTGCGCATAAAAGTCCCTGCAGTGGCGGTAGCGTTTCAATTGGGTTACTGCAAAAGAAGGGAAGCCCATAAACCACTCTCGCCTGGAGTTTTAAACTTGATAATGCCAGATCTGGCGCGTGTGAAATGCAAGTTTCGTTCAGTTATGTTCTGCTGAAATTAGCGTTTCTGGACCAGCCAGCAAAAACTATACGTATTTTGCGTCTGTGGGAAATATATATGATTTTTATTATCTTTGCAATGCTACGTTCTATTGGTATTATGTGCATACTAGTTGGCATTTTTCATTTAACGTATTCCAATAACAGGTCGCTTCGATCATCCTTTAATCACCCTGGCATATGCAGACAAGCCGTAAGATTAAATCAAAATATTGACACCTAAAAGTAGATAAATGTCTTAGATTGATTGATTGATTGATTTGGTAACGCAGCTTGCGTAGATGTTGATAAAAATTGATACCTTTACTATGCCAAAATAAACCTCCTTTATTTGGTTATATCCCTGAGAAACCGAGTTCTGGATGTAGAAGTCGAATGAAAAATGCAAATGACAAAAATTCCTCTACAATACTACCTAGTTTTATTGGGGCTTGAAGAAACCGAACCCCCATTTGATGTTCCAGGTGCCTGGGTGTTTATCCGCACTTTCAAGTTGACGGCTTTCTTGAATCTCCTCTCCTTGCCCTCGGTCTTGCGAAGAATTTCACTCATTTTGCTTGCACTTGAAGCCGCTTTTGTCCACGTTCAATATGCCACTGATGATTCAAATCTGCTCCGCAATCAAAGCCACTCAAAATACTTAGCAGCCTAATCAATTGAGTAAACTTGCCAATCTTTGCTTGGAGCAGGTCCGGATTGTAGGTGTTTCGTTTAACCCAAACCCAATTAAATGTATTCATATTTTATTACTTTTTGGTAGAAAATGGGCTTAATGAGCATTCGAACAATAGAAAATTAAACATTTAACGAAAAGTGTTGCTTAATCGGTGTTGCCTCCGTCTGCACCGTTTTCTTAGCCCTGTTCTCCTTCGCTGTAGAGCTGAAACATACATCAATACAGTTCGGGAAACCGAACCAAAATTTTGGACTCTACCTGGCCTTCTTGGGCTTCTTCATCATCGTCGTTGCCAGCGACTTCGGGCTTTTCTAGTTCGGCTCTTCACATAAAATTCACAAGCCGAGGCCTTGTTCTTCTTGTACTTCTCCTCAAAGTGCCAGGCAGTTTTTGGATCCAACTCCTCCAGCAGCTCATCAGACTCAGTTACGTGTCTGAGGATTGAATTCATCGTCTTCGCTTTTCCGAAACGTTCAGTGCATTTCTCTACATCTTCAACGCTGACTCGTCGTTTGGATAGATCTAGTAAAATACGAGAATTATTATAACTTTAGTAACTTCTTAATCCATCATAAAACACTCTTTTTACTTTCAAAGCATAATTAATACTGTCGTTACACCAACAACTTACCAATTTAGGTATCCCTTCCCTTTGTCCACCCTAATGACTACCACAGTTGGATGTTAATGGACCTGATACGTCTTCGGGACATACTCGGACAGCAAACTCATTCCCTCTGTGTTGTTGTATGCGAGCAGGTGAACGAAGGCGCCCATTTCAGGAATGATCCTTACATTTACCATGACTGCATCCTCCACTTCGGGGTATATCCCCTTGTTAAAGCGACAAGATACTCTTCATCTTCATCTATCATCATCTATGAAGATACTGGCATTTTCTAACTGTTGGCTTGGAAAAATCCTGACTTCAAGGAGCCGCCGGTCATCCGACCTGTGATTGATTTTTCTAGTCAGTTTTGTAGCTAAAGGCGAAAAAATCAATCCTGAGATCGGTTTGTAAACATGAAGAAAAACACCGAGATTGAGAAATGTCAAACTTGCTGTCAGGAGTAACAGGCGCAAAGCATGATACAATGAATACAAGGTAGGATCTTGCGTCGATTTGCGTGACGTCAGTGGAAATCACTGCGTTTCGTGATTTTTTCCTGTGTTTAATGTGATTAAATATAGCTTATTTAGTCTTTGTCACATTTAATTATTTTGTAATAAATCTTCTTTATAATTACAAAATACTTTGCAGCAGGTTTTAAACCTGAAAATGAAAAGTAACAGAAATTTATTCATTTTGTAGGCTCCCACAGTTGCCACATGTGCAATAAAGTGTAGCGTTTGTTTTTGGGAGGTACCCCAAAAGTTCGAATTGCAAATTCCTCTCATATCGTCATTTTTGAAATGCTGAGGCAATATTCGTATCCGCACGACAACAAGCATTCCCCCATAGCTTGCACACGTTCTACAGTAAACTTTCCAACTACAAAACGCAAAATGCAGAGTTATTTGTCTACAAGATTCCCAAATACGCTCAAACGCATTCACCCCCTGATTTAATGAATTAATTGAATGATACAATGAATTTATTGTTTCGTTTGGCTCTACCCGATTTTACAATTGACACTCTGGCAAGACAGCAAGCTAAAACGCTGAAAATCAGAGATTTTGTTATGAATTATTTAGGGTATTTTTCTTCCCAATAAGCGTAAATCAGGTCCCAAACGCGATTTTCAAAGCATTGGGCTATGCAATGCTGCAAACCATATCCTCATATAACTTTCCATTTTTGAACTATCGCGTTTTGAATTCAGTGAAAATCTGTCTAGGTTACATGCATTTTAAATGGGATCAGCTGTTCACTTTACCAAAGTGGTAACCAGCGACGTAATGTACGCACAAAAATCGAGTTTTCGACCGATTAATATCCCACCTTGTATTCATTGTATCATGATATTGTTCTGTGCATTTGTGACTCACTTCTTAGCGCTTGCGCAGAGACGGGAAACCCCCGGACAAAATTGCGGGTTACGGGTCGTGTTTGCGCAAGTTTGTTAAGTAAGCACGGCTTGAATGATCGGATGTTGCGAATGATTTAACGGACAATTTACCACCAGAACGTCTCATCGTACTGTTCCGAGTGGGCCAATATGAATCGAGATAATCTAACGAAAAAATAACGCATATTAAGCGCATTCACATTTTCCCATAAATGGTTTTCAGCGGACGTATCAGACGGATGTTTATCAAACGCATAAATGTTTATACAACTAATTGCGCCTGGTTGGGATCCAATCTACAGTCCAATCATTAACGCTATATAAACAATGTCTTGAAGTCATGCTGAACCAACTGGAAGTGTCGCGATTAGCGACACGCTGTGACTCATTTCAAGCATATTCAGATAAACGAACCTATTGTTACTAACGTTTATCTTAATTTTTAAAATGTAGGCAGGATTAAGAAATTAAAGACCCGAGTTCCATCAATCTATTGCGATTAATCAAAAAACAGTCATTCTTAAAACTATCCTAAAACCTAAACGCAGTAAACACAAGCCCGTTTAAACTCAATGTAAATTTACCACATACTCAATAAAATAGTCAAGGGACTTGTCTGGATAAATTGTGCCCTGCAAGGGATTGCAGGTAAGCACTTGAACTACCAGCACGATACGATCCTCATGTGGCCACCCGGAAACTGAGCCCAAAACTTGACTTTCAAACTGCAAGTTTGAAAGATTGCACCGTCGGGGGTCCAAATTATATTTCAGAGCCTCTTGGAGATTCGCAGCATTTAGAGAGATGAATCGTCTCACCTGCAATTGAGCGTTAGAGTAGCGAGCAGAGAACAAAAGAACGACCATCAAGTTCCTACCCTGAAATACTTGGTGTTCCCGTTTTGGCAAACCAGAAACTGCTCCCGAACCAAAAACTGGCCAAAATCAATCAAGTTTTTTACCCTCACAATGCGGCTAATGGTTCTACCGCTCCCGACCAAAGCTTGGTGCACTTGAGAATGGATCGTCATGTACTCGGAGGAGCCTGGAAGCAGTTCGGTCAACTGGCCATCCTGGCGGTTCCAGTGGAAGGACGCTGCGTGCCGTAAAATTACCGACTCGTACGACATTGCAAGTTTTGTAAGCCAAAAACAACCAAACTGGCACTGGTTTTATGTTTATTTTAGTCGCAGGGCTCCAATCTGACCCAAACCATACCAAAGTTGAAACCAAACTGAAAATACCCGCTCTACAAGATTTATAAGATTTCCCCCATTACAGCTGAGTCTTGACATTAAAAAGAGCGCGTTTAAATTAGGCGGGCCAGGCCACCATTTGGCAGCGGCGCATAGCGGCCTTTCAACTGAACAATTTCGTTATTTGCACGTTTTCCTGTTAAAATAAAATTAGAATTCAATGTTTCAAAAACTCGTTCAGAACGTGCGCCTTTAATGCGTATCACATTTTAACGGGTTTATTCATGGGAACCACATGCGTAGTATGAGACGTTCTGGTGGTAATTTCTCCGTTAAATCATCCGCAGCATCCGTGCATTCAAGCCGTGCTAACTTCACAATGTTGCTATCTTGGAACATCTTTGCGGCGATTCTGTCCGGGGCTTTCCCGTGTCTGCAGGACCGCTATGAATGAACCAGGGTTGCCAGGTCCGAAAATCGAGTTTCGGTAGATAAGCTCGACACTTCGGTAGAAAATCGGTAGACTCATTTTTCTTTCATTAGTAAAGGCTCCATAACATCGCGCGTTTTTTAAATTTTTAAACTTACAGGAATACTAAAATAAACAAGAGTCAGCAAAGAAGTAAATATGAAATTGTACTCGCTTTTAGCTTATTTCTCAACTTAGTTTTCATTAGATTAACCCATGATACAATATATACATGACTGTATTCATTGTATCATGAGATTAACCTGTGAAAATATCCGTTCAACTTGGCTCTCCCGCTGGAGGTAGAATAAGTAGGTTACAAATAAAATTGGAAACACGCATGTATCAGCTCCATATTTCACTATTTGTACTTGGCTCCAAAACTCTTCAATATTTCCAGATTTTTTTTAAATTTCCTCAACATTTCGCAACAGTCGTCATTCTGTGTCCAGACCTTGTAATTCACTATCATTTATTAAATTTGGAAATATCATTGCAACATCAGAAATATATTGTAGGGAACCTGATTTCACTATTGCAGCATCCATAAAACATAATTTTGTCATATTTATATTTATATATACATATGGCGGGCTTGATTGATTTTATGTTTGAAAATGAATTCTAAAATACGAGGTGTGCTAAAATAAAATGTCTGCTATTGCCAACGTACTTTGAAAATGAATGGAAATATGTTATATTACTTTAACTAATCCACGGAAATTTTCTCAACTTTTATTTGTTACTTTTCGGTAGAAATCTGCATGGTATCGGTAGATCGGTAGGTTCCTTGACAAATCGGTAGACCTGGCATCTCTGGAAGTGAGTCACGAATGCACAGAGCAATATTTCTCTGTCCGGTTATGTGCTTGGCGCGCCATCTGTTGAGTCGAGCTTCAGGCGGTATTTGCATGTTTAGGAACTGTCGCCATTATTACGAGACCGCAACTATCTCAAAAGCCGTAGGTTTAGTTGAATGCTGACGGGTTGAAGCGAGAACCAACTGCACATTAAAAAAATATTTTTTCCGAATTGTACAAGTCGCTTTAACGCTTAAAACCAGCGGAACTCTAAATATCCCTGTAGCGATTTCTTGCATTTATGAAGCATTCACCTTCACGTCCAAACCATTGCAATGCGCACATGGTGTAGGTATTTATACGGAAGAACGTCGAACGGTTTAAACCCACAAGATTTTTTTACTTGTACGCTGCTTTAATCAACAAAAAAAATAGAAAAAAACGTAACTTTACCGATGGCAGTTTAATCAGTTAAGACAAAATTAATGATCAAATTTCGTTTTTCGTATTTAAATTTGAGGCATTTTCCTTGACTGGTATTCGCGAGTTCAACTACCGATGGTGTTAATCAAGACTTGTCAGGCTTGTTTATTTATTGAATTTCATGACAATGATAGCATAAAACAATACTTACACACTTTTCCGATCTGTTTCCATTTCTTCAAAAGCTTGCAACAGTTGATTAGAACAAAACACCACAAATCGCAGTCAGATGTAAACACCAATGTGCACAAACCAAGTGTCAAATAACTGCTTAACTTGTGGTGATAATTTTATTCACTAGGGGGCATCTGGACTTTGGAACTCGCCAATAGCTTTTACGTTTTGGAGAGCTCAATTTAAAAACTAACCCCTAAAACGCTGTAACATTGACATGCCTGGATGCGCTGTTGCCGTCAATTTTTTTGAATCATACCGCTGACAATGTTTAATTCAGATTAAGAACTAGACATGAAGTTTTTGATTAAAGCACAGCAGTTCTGTCAAAATAATAGCCATTTAATTTTATTGACAAAATAAACAGATTTTTTAAATTTTGGACAGAAAATGCAGTTGGTGGCACGATTTACAAAGAAACCGGTGATATTGCAATCGTAATACGAAAATACCCTGCAAGGTCTAATGTGTCTTAACAATTAGTTAACACGAGCTCAATGACTAAGCAAATACGTTTACAAAAAATGTACAAAATCGTGCCGGTTGATGACAAGCCTAAGTTTAACAGCTAAAAGTAGTAGTGTGGTACAAGAATGTATTTTGGTTCATTTGATACCATTCGGTGATAAGATTCACTTTATTACATGGCAGGATTTTCAACTTTCTCTATATGTAAAGAAAAAACTCTTAAAAAACATATGTTTTCACCTGCGTGAAACTTAGGCCTAGGACAAAAATATACATCCAAACAACACTGATCTAAACACTGGCGTTGTCTCGATTCTTCGCCGTTATTGGAATGCGAAAACGCTCGTCTCGTAGAAATCTGCAAAAAAATTGAAAAATTAAATCTTACCTATAAACTGTCGCCTATACACATACAGGGCACGTTAGAGCTGTGTATGTATTTTCGAAACAAAATTATCTTATCAAAGTTACAAATGCATCGAACCAGGTAATATTAATCAGTAAAATTCCAGAGTTCTTGGCAGAATTCACTGTTTTTAAACGCCCTGTATGTTCGAAAAATACTTAATGCAAATATGATAGAAATAATTCACCGATCAATTTGGAAGTACAGTGAAAGCGTTTGTTGGCATCGTTGGAAAGAGAATTGAAAACTTGATTCAGTCGTAACAACGTGAGTGAGGAAATTCGAGTAGTTTTGACCCAGAA